AGTGCCACACGAGGCCGGGGTACCACAGCACCCCAGCTATTCGATCCAGCATCCTTGTAAGAACATTTTTTTTTTCGCTTTCTCGATGCAATCATTTTCCGGTGGTTGACAATGAGTTATTCAGTTACTTAACTTTTGGAAAACAATCGGTCATCAATCCAGCGTCAATGATTCTACTTCGCCGGAATGATTAGAGGTTCACTTCCGGCGCTAAAGGTTTATTGTTCCTGCTGGACTGCAACAATACTGCCGTGCTAAGAAAGAACGCCGCATGAACCATTAGGCGTTGCCCACGTTCCTTCGATAAATCACGAATTCTCGGAAAAATTTGTAAATATTTTGCTTCCAATTTTTCAGATAATTTTGTTCGCGATTTCACCTGAAGTTCCTGAAAATTTCGAGGTAAAATATTCGGAGCTTTCCTCAAAAATAAACATTTTAACGAAGGAAATTTGGCAACTCTCGAATGTTCGTACGGCGTTATTCCTTAGCATGGGAGAACAGTTATGTGAGGCCGTGACTGTGACTGACTGAGAGGGGTATAGTTGCGATTAACGTATACAATTTGCCAGAGTGGCATACGTCAATACTCATATTCTTGTCATTTCAAATTTTTTGCACCTACTCGATTCAAGCAAGAGAGGGCTGAACATTGGATTTTTTTGAAAAAAAAAAAAAAATAAATAAAAAAAAATTATGTTTCGACGAACGATGAAGTTGCACTTAAAATCTACGGCATATTATTTATAATAAAAAGCGCCGCACGTCCACGGTGAAACTGCAGAGGCGTGAAAATATCTCATTTGCGGTGTTTCAAACTCTTAGTTCTTGTTTTATTTCATCAAAAGATGACCGACCAACGCTATTATTTGAAATTTTCACAGAATATTCTTCATTCAAAGAAAAAAATCGGGAAAATTTTCGAGCTGAGAATTGGCATATTATGAAAAAATGAAAAAGACTCCAATTTTGCAACGTCGCAAATGGAGATACGCGTTCCTACAGGTTTACCATCGACGCGAAGTACGGTATGAGTATGAGGGACGCTGTGGCAGAGAAAGAAGCCAATGCGCCTTCAATTTATTGAATATGCAACTTTGGTAACCGCCGAGCAGGTATAGTTGTATGAGTTGTATCAAGGCGTTGACATTGAGTCGTCCCGTAAGTTTCAACTGGCGGCAACCACAATGTTGCCGTTACATGCGTAATTACCTACGAATTTCTGCGTAATTGAGAGCATATTTTATAGTTTATCAAGCACAAAGCGAAATTGCGATGAGAGCATTGATCAATTAAGCTCCTATTCTTCGAGATTTTGGGTTAATAGTGTCCTTTTCTCCAATACCCAAGAATGTAGGAGAAGGTAGGTACCTATTGAAAAGAAAGAGGGAGACTTGAAGAGGGATGAGGACAGTGCCTCGACGTAAAAGAAATGGAACAGAAAGATGCAATTAATAGCTGCATCATGAAATTCTCTATAGTCTGTCCCAGATACGAAGAGCCCTGGAAAATCAGAATAATTTGCACTATGTAGAGGCAAGGTATTGTTCGTTCTATTGTGGCCGACTATTCACCGAGCAAACCCCGCACCGTACAGAGGGTTGGTTATGAGCTCCGCGGCGCGTTGGCGTCTTACGCCGGGAATCCGCTCCTGGGCCTCGGGGAAAACCATCGCGGAAAGATGCGAAGGGAGTATGCGTTGCCTCAAGGTGGCTTGCGACCCTCTGTGCGACGCATGTGAGAGGCGACGAGATGACAGGTGACGAGGGTCAAGGCACCCCAACCCGCCAAATAGTGCTAATTACTCGGATTTTCCAGGGCTCTTCGTATCTGGGATAGACTATATACCCTTGACCTATTTCAATAGTTATCTGTCAATATTCCATCAACAGTCTGATTTCCTATGTAAGAATTTCATGCTAAAGGAAAGGGAGTAGTTGAAATTTACTTTATTGTTAATGTACCTTCGGGTCGGCACTCAGTGGATCGAGTTAATCACCCTGGTAAAAATTGGCAGTAGAATCTATGTTCCAATATACCATAGACCTAAAGCCGGCTGTAAGATTTTCAATAGCTTCTATAGTCGGCTGCACGATTTCTTACAGCCTTTTATAGCCGATGGCGATTGAGCAACAGCCAGGCGATAAAGTGTATGCTACATGTTACTAATTACGGATGCTCGGACTTAGTGAGTTTTTGGACTACCGCTCTATGTTTGGGCCGTAGTATCTACATTTATTTTATGCGGAAAGCTCCGTACTTTTGAAGGATGCCTGCCATCCCTAATATGTTGGGGCGCCTTCAATTTCGTATGATACTGTGCAATACTTCTGGTGTGAAATAGTTGCTTCAAGCGCCGTGGCACGCTGCGGCGCGGCGGGCGGGCAGCCAGCGCGAAAAGCGCCTACAAACCTAACAGGGATACTTCACGCATTGCGCCATGCGTGAAGTATCCCAGTTAGGTTTGTAGGCGCTGGTGTGCGCTTATCGCTGGCAGCACGCCGCGCGCCGCTCCGTGTTATGCTCCAATATAATCTTGCGGAGTCAGCGTTTTTCATCTCATGATTTTGAAATGTTTGCACATCCTGTATGGATTATTCTCATTTTAATTGATGAAAAAAAATATGTATTAAAGGAAAATATAATGTGTGTTTTGTGAATATTATGTTGGCTCCGTATCAAATTCAATGATTTCCGAAGTACACGAATTTCTACACAATTTCTTATAGCCTTTTATAGCCGATGGCGATAAAGTGTAAAGCCCGGCGATAGGAACTACATATCGACGGTGAAACTACCAAACCACGTATCTCGTTTGCTGTGTTTAAAAATCTCCGCTCACATTTTATTTTTTTGAAGTAGACCAAATCAATATCATTCCTTGAAATTTTCACAGAATTTTCTCCGCACGAAGAGGAAAAATCACGGAAATTTTCAAGACTGGACGTTAAGTAGCTTTTCATTTAAAAAATAAAGTATGACAGAAAGTCTGCGACGTCGCAAATCGAGATACGTGGTTTGGTAGTTTCACCGTCGATATATAGCCCAGCTGCATACTTTTTTATCGCTTCGTAAGTATAGTCCGGCTATATGATTTTCTCCGCTTTCTACAGCCAGCTATGTGATTTTCTATTGCCTTCTTTAGCCGGCTATAAGAATTCCTATGGTATTTTGAAACGCAGCTCCTATCGCCAATTTTTACCAGGGCAGAGCGGTCGGACATGAAATTTTTGACTAAATTTCAGATTTTGATGTTCCTTTTGTCACATTGAAAATTCGAATGGGAGCTTCTACAGGAAAATTTCACGAGGAATCCAATGAAACCGGTTTGAACCTCAAAGTTTTGTATAAACGGTGTTACAAGCTTTTAAAATTTCCAAATTGTGTTCGACCTCTCCTATTAACTCGATCCACTGTGCAGCAGTTAATTGATTAGAGGCTTTGATTTCTTTCCGAGTTTCAGAGTTATTGTGCTCTCTCGTACACATGACCGATAATTGCTTGAAGAGAAGAAACCCTTACTACTGATATCATTCTTACAGCAATATTACCGCACTAAGGAAGAACGGCGTATAAGCCATCAGGCGTTGCCAAATTTCCTTCGACGAATCACGCATTTTTGGGAGAATGTGTAAAAGCCCTCTACAGATTATTCAGGGGATTCGTTCGTAATTTGATCTAAGAAGTCTGAAAATTTTGATGAAAAGTAATCATAACTTTCTTCAAAAATCAATATGTATTGCGAGGAAATTTGGCAATATTCGGATGCTCATACGGCGTTAATACCTAGCACGGCAAAATAATCATAAAATAATTGTACGTTGATGGCTGAAGTTCTACAACACATACAACGATAATTTTTTTTTTCTTCATTTATTTTTGGCTCAGTGACAGGGGTTTGGCCCTAGAGCATGCCTAAGTTTTCAAGAAAAAATTCAGTTCAATTTCACCTGTTTTTCAGGGGATAACCGTAAAATTCAATTGATGAAAATTTGTGCATAAAGTGTTGTGAGGGGTGAGTAGAAAGGTCAGTATGTCCTTAGTCCTGGGTTCATTCATTGATAATTTCAACAATAAGGCAATGCCTGCAATAAATGATTAAAAAGAGAAACTCAGCCTTGAACTCACACTTGGGCAAAGGTGCAAAAAGCTCCATGCCACTGACAGTTTCTTACAATCCAGGGTTTATGCCTCATGACAAGATTTGTAGCTTGCATCATAGAAAAATGATTGGTTTGATCACATAATGTGCCATTTTGAAAATTGCAAAATTGATAAACAAAATCAAACATTTTTCACACCCTTGCACAGAAGTGCAAATGAATCAGAGCTATCATCTCGTTGAATCTCCAAGCGTATTGATGCAGCTATTCTCAGATGTGAGGAAACTTAATGCTATCTTGAGTCGAATAGTCAATATGATTCCCCCCTCTACCCATAATTTCAGGGAAAAGAGCAAAATTTACTTGAAAACAGAAAAAAGAGAAATATCAAAAGGGAGATACAAGTGTATTTCATATGTTCTATATGTATACACAAGAACACTACCTTATCTATAATGAGAATATTTGAGAAATAGGGAAAGAACCACAAAGAGTTTTACAGTAATTTCTATTAGATTTTATTGCAAATATAAATAAACAAAAGAAACAATAAAAATTAATCATTAAAGAAATATAACTTAAATGATAAAATACTATAAATTAGTTTACATTACACAACTACAAATAAGAGATGAGGAAAAAGGACAGAAACATGCTTCAAAACTAAAATTAAATAATAAAAAAGGGACGAAAGTCAGGAAACTCTCACACAAGGAAAAAGGGGGGAGGGGCAAAACAAATTTGACTAATAAATCATTTCAACGATCAGAATAAACTCTCTGATAGTGACCGTGAAAGGTTCTGAAGCATGCTTCAGCCAATAAGCAAGTGTTGAACTTGATACATCAACCTAGCTGGCAATGACTTTTACTCATCCAGAATGAAGATAGTGTTTTCTTTTGGCTTCTAAATATTTGCTTTAAGAGATGAATTAACAAAAGAGGAAACTGACTACATAAATAAATGAAAGAGTGAAAGAAACGAAACAATAAAATAAAATACGAAAATTTGAGGAAGGGAACCTTATTCCAAAACTACGATCACAATTTGGGGAAAATTCTGCATGACAAGAGTCAAAAGAGAGGAGAAAAGAAACGGATGATTTGTCTACACAAAACCAGTTTCCATGTTGGAATTAACTTCACAATAATGCTCATCTCTTCGAGTTACACACTACAGCCCACACAGATAATCCTCACCCAGTTCTTATATTCTCTTCATTTTTACAATGAGCTCAACTGAAATCAGATCTTGAAACTGAACCTAAGGTTGGAGCATCATTCATCAAGAAGTGACTAATACTGACAGTCTCAGGAACAAATACTTTTATTCGTCAAAAAGATGCCAAAGATATTTCCAGAAATTTACCACTTCTCTAAAACATCTGAGAAACTGGTAGGAGTTACAATCAAAATTAAAAAAAAAAAAATAGTTGTCTGAAAAATTACCTGAGAAGTTCTAATAACATGTTTCTGCTGTAAGTCTGATATTGAAAGTTTTTCTTCGAGGAAGACTTGTGAGTCTTCACTTAGAATGAGACATGAGGGGAGGAAAAATTTGTACGATTTAAATTATCGGTAATAAATTACCATGTCAAATAATCTTTCCTTTGATTTGTCTAAGACAAGATAAGGAATTAAAACATCAACAAGATTTTCCCAACTTGAAAATAAATGCACTTAATGTAAGTGATTTAACATTAACTCCATTGGGAATCACCACAAGAATTTGGGCTAGGTTGATTACTTAAAATTTATTAACACAGTTCATATTAAAGTCGTAAAAAAAGTCCAACTTTACAGCTAGAAATTCTTATGAATTAGGAAGGATGTCATTCAAAAGTTCTTTCGCGCTTGGAGATATTGTTTCAGGGAACTTGATATCAAAAGAAACTAGAAGGTCTCCTCGCCGGCTGGGTTCTTTAGGAAATGGTAAACCTTTACCTGGGATCCTTTCTACAGTTGTTGGCTTGATGATTTTGTGAGTGAGTTGAAGGGGAACTTTGTAATTGTCTAGCGTTGGTATTTCGATATTAGTTCCACACAAAGCCTGTGAACAGAGAGCAAGAAAAGAGATTAAAACACTAGAATGGAAACTCGAATTTTCCAAAAATTTACCTGATTACCCAATTGATTGGTTTCGAAATAGTACCAAAAATACTTATAGATATTCCACTGGAATTCCTTTCCATTGATGTATCACATGACATGAATCACTATTTGACAAGCTAAGACTGACTGTGACCGCTATATTCTGAGACTATTAAAGCTGAGACGGTTAAACACCTGTTCCTAAATTTCCAGTTACTTCCACTGTTCCACTTTTAATTAATTAAACAGTGCGACTAAGGAATTTTTAGAAGAGCAGCCCATGGCTAAACACCTAGTTTAGAGAAAAATGCACTATAAAATTCGAAACACTGAAGCTCTAAGGATTTGAACTCCTTCATAGAGATAAAGAAAAGTTTCAGGGATAGTCTTCATTAAGGTTTTCAGACTACCTACGACCTAAAATTTGAAGGACCTAGCTTCTAGCACCCAAGTATGATGAAAAGTGACAATATAAAATAGGAATTTATAAACCCTTTAAAAAGAAACTGATCCTGGAGAATATCAATGGCTAAACAGCGACATACTGCATCACCATGTGCAACATAGAAGACTTCCTGTCATACTTAACAGATATGTATTAAAAGGATGATGCTTTTATGTGCGGTGAGGAGAGTAGGGAATTTGAAAATTTGAAATTGTCATTTTGAAAAAAAAAAAAAACTCCTCTGGGATAACAGTTGATTAAGGATTGTGGGAGGGTGTATTTCCAACAGTGTCAACGCTTGGGAGTCAGGATTAATATTGGGAAGTACTGTTGCAGCTGCTTAGATATCGATATCAAGACTTGCACATGTTTTTAACATCTCCAGGTATAAAAATATGAGTGAACTTCTTTTCGGACGATTATTTTGGGTTAGGCATTGATTAAACATTCTGATGGAGTAGCCCTGTATTTCCAGGGATGCAAGAAAAGTCCAATTCTGCAAGAGTCTAAGGAAAACGGAAAAACGATGTTGAAAATATTAAAATTTGTAGGAAATTTTGTGAAACGCCAGGAGGTTATTCAGGATTCCTCATTTAATCATCATACACTCCAAGGTGTAATATAACCTGGGACAGCCCCACGGCCAAAATTTTGAACACTAAAATATATTTGAGATTAGGGAAGAGGTTGAAGGCTAGCTTACCTGTTTTAGGGTGATTTTGGCAGTGTATCGAATATCACTTCCTTCCCTTTTGAATAGTGGATGAGTCTTGTCTCTGATTATGAATACGATATCTGCTGGGATTTTGTTTCGAACTTGATCTCCTTCTTTCTGGAAAGTGATTTTTGTTCCTGCTTTCCAACCAGGTTTCACATTGATTGTCAGTACTTTGTCTTCCTTCTTTGAGGTTCCGTCTGGTTGGAGTACTCGCCGGGAAATTTTCATCTTCTTGGTGCATCCTTTCAGAATATCCTCTAATGAGACATACAAATCATGTTCGATAGGAGAGTCTTGCTGTTTATCCTTGTCTCTGTGAGGTGAGCCATGGATGTTAAATGACTGAGAACGGAATGCACCACCACCGGGACCAGAGCGATGTAAACCACCAGTGGAGAAGAATGGGTCATCATCATCATCATCTCCACCAAAGAACATACGTGTTCCTCCGCCTCCAAGATCAAAGAACTGGAAGGGATTGGAAGTGCCGAAAAATTGAGCAAATGTGGCTTGAGGATCTCCATGGAATGTGTATTGGAAGTTTCCAGGACCTCCCTGTCCTCCTCCACCTCCGACATTGCCTTTCAGTCCATCTTCACCGAATTTGTCGTAGATGTCTCGTTTCTTTTTGTCGCTGAGAACTTCATAAGCTTCTGCAACTTCTTTGAATTTCTCTTCTGCGCTTTTGGCCTTGTTTTTGTCAGGATGGTATTTCAGGGCGAGTTTTCTGTAGGCCTTCTTGATTTCATCATCAGATGCACCTTTTGAAATGCCTAGAATCGAGTAGTAATCTTTACCCATAATATGTTCAGTTCTTTGCTATCTGTTGTTACCTGCACAGACAGAAAAAACAGTCAAATTAGAAAAAAAAAAATTCATCACAGGGAAGATGAATGATCAGGGGAGAATTTAAAAAGGCAGGAATAAGTAACTCATACCCACGGTGAGTGCTAGGGAAAATCGCTGTATACCTTCAGGAGTCGCCAAAATTCCTTTGAAAACACACTAATTTCCTGGTAAACTCATGGATATTTCTCTTCCAATTTTTCGATAATTTTGTTCGCAATTTTGCTTGCAGTTCCTGTAAATTTCAAGGAAAACTACACATAACTTTTCTCGGAAATCAACATTTTAACGACGGAAATTTGGCACCTCTCGAATATTCGTACAACGTTCTTCCTTAGAGCAGCAGCACAGTGCTACTGACATGTGATCAAGGACAAAAGTTCATGCCTGAATTGACACCAAGTGTTTCTAAAAGATTGGAGTCATCTCTGTTGCATATCTGTTTACATTGCTGTAGACTTCTAATCATCATTCATTTTTTGATAGTAAAAATACTGCGGGTCACTGCTTGCCAACTTCCTTAATTTTTCCTCTCAGTGGGAAGATGATTTTGTAAAAATTTCAAGTAACAGTGATAGTTTTTCCTCTTCTGATAAAATAAAATGGGAGCAAAGATTTGGACAAGTTGAGTAATATTAATCAATGTAGATCTGACGAGTGATGACTAGGGAACTACTGTCAGTTATTCCGGTAGGTAATTTAAATTGAGATAACCTTGCACATGACATCAAGCAACATGGTGAGAGTAATACCTTTAGAATTTACAAAGCTTTTTCCATTGAAAAGGGACCATTTTCATGATGACAATTGAAGATGAAGAGGGTGAAAAACCGCTTGAAATAGTGTGCAATTGTAAGTGTGAAACAAGGTTCAGAGATTTGTAAGTAATCTTAGTATTCAAAAGTACACAGAAACCTGTTTATCGTCCAGATATAATAAATTTCAAGAGTGGCCATGGAATAATCTGATGCTAATAAAAATTACAGAGGATATTGAAAATTTGATATGTTTTGTTCCCATAGAAAGGCACAGAATAAACTCGACCAATCTGTTTTAATATGGACCATTGCTGTGCGTTGTCAACGAAGAGGACAGGATGGCGAGAGAGAGGGGGGAGGTTATGCGATGACTGAGGTAACTGACCTTAAGTATTGATTAAATTACAATGTGAGTAACTTCCTGGATTCTACATTTAATTAGTATACTTTACAGAAATTGTTTTGATATTGACCAGGGTCAAAACATATGGCATGAAGTGTGTGTTTACAGAAGCTTCTCTTGAAGTCTTTGAAAAAATAGAAAAGTACTTCATGTTAACTTTTTACAACAACACGATCATTTTGCAACAAAAGCTTCCTTGTGTGTAAAAAATTCAACCCTTAAAACTGGTGACTCTTTATTAATGTTCTTAACATCCATGTTATGATACACCTATACTTGTAAGAAGGGAAGCAAAATATTGTAAAATACAAGGGCGCTCAGCTTTGCAGAAAAAATTACTTCTTGGTTCCATATTTTTGAAGTCATAGAAAATATTTAAAAGAATATATTACGGCAAATACACAGTCTTTGGAGTGGTTCTAAGATATACTTAATCAGTTTTAGCAGTTGTCCAGAAGAATGCATAGGGCACTTGTGGAGGAGAATCTAATGGAACCAATCAAAAGAGAGACAAAAACAAGCGCACAGCTCGATATCATCACCTTCCGGCCAAAGTATTACAAGTGCCATGCAACGTTTAAAAGTTTCTGCCACTATTGTATTTTTTTACAGAAAAATTATTCAACAAAGCTGTTCAAAAAATTTCACTGAATTTTTCTTCAGCTGCTGAGAAATTCAGTGAAATTTCCAATCAGATTCAACTAACAATTCCTCTATAAAAAATAATATGACAATAGAAATTGTGAAATGTTGCATGGCGCTAGTGGCACTTTCGCTGGAAGTGGACAATATACTAGAAACTTTGAAAAAAGCAAGAAAAGAAGAAAATAATCGAGGGACAATTAGGATTCATCCTTCATTCTCTTCAATGTTTACCATGTACAGGGAATATAAAGGGGGAGGCCACTCACAATTTGCATAATTGATGAGCATCTAGAGTTGCCTACCAATCAACAGAAAGACCTAGAAAATACAAGCCAACTCTTGCCAACTTCACAAACATAACCTACTTGAACAATCGACACTAGCTCATAAGTCAACTGCACACCAAGTCAAAGGATTTGCCAGTCCTTGCGACACCTATCATTCTCAACCAGGACCAGAGAGCTCCCTATTCTCTTCGTAAATAAACTTCCTCAAAGAATGCACCTTGGTCTAATTTCTATGTCTTGGGCACAAGTAGGTACTTGAAATTTACTATCTCTGCCTCCTACTAACAGGAGAGATTCACACCCTAATTTGCACTGATTGGACTAATTAAGTACAGCTAACGAATGAAAAGTAGCTCCGGGTCTTAATCCAAAATTGGTGGCTCCATTGTGACAACTAGAAAGTTATCCGATTCTGCCTACCGACTGCCGCATCAATATCAGATTTCCTCAAGTAGGCTTACTAACAGATTCTCATTAAAAATTATCATTACCTATCATCAGTTACGTCTCGTCTAAAAACTTCAGAGATTTCACAGCGAAAAGCTAGAGAGTGATAAACCAAGTTTTAGCAATTAGAATTCTAATCCATTTAATCAGAGGAAGCCTGAGCCTTGCTTAAAGTCTGACTGGGTGTAGGGAGGCGTAAAGCTACGAGATGTTCAGCCAAATCTTGTTATTCTGGCTATGAAAAATAATTGTGACAACAAGGACAATAGCACAAAAAACCGAGTTTGAGAGTGAATAGAATGGATATTAGAAGAGAGATTAGAAAGGTGAAAGAAAAGGGGAGATAGAACTATCTGGAACAGAGAGTCAATGATTATACTAACCAAAAATTGAGTTATCCACAATCTATATCCAAAGATTGAGCTACAACACAGACACAATTAAAATCTGCAATGAATTGAGCTAGTTTTTGCACTAGAACACTTCACAAATGCACTAAATTTCAAGTCGTCTAGCGAAATACGCTGAATTCCACTGAACACGGATCCACTGACGAACGAAACTAACTACGAGTGCATTGATTTCACGTTACACGCCATAGGATTTTGACACGAGCAACAACACAAATGGAACTGAATGCTGAATGGAACGTTACGGACGATTCTGGAACTTTCTAGAAACAATCGAACCTCTTATCGCACCACGTATCGATTGATCGATACAAGCGTTTCCGTTTCCTCTTTCCAAGCCGCAACTCCACGGGCTAGCAGCAGAGAGACGTGCTGTTCAAGCCGTACTTCCACGGACGAAAAAAGCTTACTGATTCCGCGTGCAGAGCGCGGGCACAACCCTTTTTCGCGTCTTTTGTAAGACGTAGACGTAACGTTGTCGTTACGTGGATTTTTTCGCGCTTTTCACTGTTTCGCGGATTATGGATCGAAAAGAAACTAACGGACCGTGCAAATTACAAAGGTCTAAAAGCAGATGGGTTTTTTATACTTTTTTTTTTTTTTTTTTTTTTTTTTTTTTTTTTTTTTTTTTTTCCCTTTTTTTTTCGTACCTAAGCGATTTGATAGTTGCTTCTAAAATGTGATTAAAGCGCTGGGTCCAAAAATGATTTAAGTTAGTTCTCCAGGCCCAATATTCTGAAAATCGAGCTTCCCCTTAAAAACTGACATTTTAGTGGTAAATTTAATTTTCCGTAAAATTGATCCATGATAAGGAAAGGAAAAACCGAGTTCATTCTCGGGCCAAATATACACAAAAAAGCGCAGGTGTCAATAAGTAGCAAAAAAATTTCTTCGCTACAACTGATGACAAGATGTTTTGGGTCAAATGGCTTCAGTGATCCATTCATATACTTCTATATAAAACTATGGTCTGTTTATTTACAAGGACGGGAAAATCATTTAATTCAGGGATCCAATGACCAAACTCCCACTTAATTTTAGCTGTTAAAACCGAAAATGACCACGGATTTTTTAAAAGAAATTTATTCCATCAATTTTACGGGAAAGAAAATTTAAAAAAAAAAATGCCTCATACGGACCGCGTAAGATAGAGAGGAATAAGGCTACACCAGCTATTGCCAAATTTAATCGATCAATTTAATATTTTACATGAAAACGATTGTGCTGATATTTGTGCAAATTTTAGTGAATTTTCTGCACAGTAGGTCTGTACGAAGCAAAGTCCTTGAAATTTTCGAAGGAATCCGCACAAACGTTCTCCTGTAAAAAATTAAATTGCCCAGATAAATTTGGCAATAGCTGATGTGGCTTGGTTCCTTTCTGCTAAACGCGGTCCATTTACCGGCCACAGGAACGTGTTTCTGGAAACCTGGAGGTAGGTGGAAAAAAAAACCAAAGCAATTTCTTGGCTTCGGTGGCCAAAAATAATTGGGTAGGAGTATGCATACATGCCCATAGGATATTTTCCTTAGACAAATCCCGGGAATATGTCCCGTAGAGACAAGGGCTTACCTACTGGGACCGAAATAATGGAGATGTTGCAGGTGTGAGGAATTTGCGATTTGACCATAGATTCTGATGTAAAAGTTCACGAGAAACACGATGGTGCCACTGGTTTTCTCTGAAATTAACTCCCAAGCTCAAAAAAAGCTCACAAGTTGAGGCCAAAATGGAGGGGACATCCCACGCTATCCTGAGAGTCCACCTATCTGCATCAAGACAAACTCTCCATGCAAAGATAGGAGACAAATACATTGACAGGACTGCCACTTTATTTGGAGACTCTAAAACTGGAACACGGCATCACTGCTAATGTATTTGCTCCCTATCTTTGCGTAGAGAGTTTGTCTTGATGTAGACGTGCAGGCCCGCCACAAGGGGGGGGGGGATACTGGGTCCCTGGTACCGGGGCTCGGGCTCCCTGTTACCCCGTGAAAAACCACCCATTTGCTAAATACAATTCTAGCTGGAGCGCACTTCAGCTATGCATTCACCACTGCAAAAATGTCAAAGGAAATCGACACGCCCAGCGTGCATGGAGGCTATTTCAATTTAAATCTTCCGTCACATTCTTACGGCGCACTGATACAACTATTTGAACCCTCCGGAATGCGTGAGGTATCACGCCGCATTTGAAGGCGTTTTCAAAACAGCCAAGTTCCGATATCTAAATAATCGTTTTGCATAGTTCATAGTATTTTGTTATATTCCGTAGCACTCGTTTATTTTTAATCCTCTTAGAAAAACCACCAATTTGCTAAATACAATTCTAGCTGGAGCGCACTACAGCTATGCATTCACCACTGCAAAAATTTCAGAGGAAATCGACAAGCCCAGCGTGCATGGAGGCTATTTCCATTTAAATCTTCCGTCACATTCTTACGGCGCAATGATACAACTTTTTGAACTCTCCGGAATGCGTGATGTATCACGCCGCGTTTGAAGGCGTTTTCAAAACAGCCAAGTTCCGATACCCGGATTATCGTTTTGCATAGTTCATATTCTTTTGTTATATTCCGTAGCACTCGTTTATTTTTAATCCTCTTAGAAAAACCACCCATTTGCTAAGTACAATTCTAGCTGGAGCGCACTTCAGCTATGCATTAACCACTGCAAAAATGTCAAAGGAAATCGACAAGCACAGCGCGCATGGGGGCTACTTCTATTTAAATCTTCAGTCATTTACATACGAATTCACATGCACCCCTTGTTCCGTAAGAAAAAATGAAAAATTTACCCTAAAAATTTCACAAAAGGTGAATAGATTTGCAGAAACACGCTGGGGCACTGTAGAATTCTTCTTAAATTTTCAGAGAAGTATACTTCTTGGAAAATTTCTATCTTTTTTCAAGATTTTCAGTACAGAGGGATATTCTTAGTAACTGCGTTTCATTTTCTTCCGTCGTCAAATGCTAAGAGTCTCCAGTCTGGGCATCCTTGATTTCAATGGCTCATGGCTCAACTCCCTTGCCCTAGACAAACGAAGGGGGAGTCCAGGAGGGCCTGGCCCTCTTAGAACTGAAGTATCATATGCTCCCCTCCCCCCCAAAAAAAAGGAAATTAATAAATTTTCCAGATGTTTTGAATGCAACAATTCGCAAGTATTTTGTGCTGAATGTAGAAAAAAAACATAATTATTCCGCAGAAATTGATGGAAAAATTGTTCATGGAAGCTTCAAAATGCGTCCGATTAGTCGTATAAATTCTTAAATTTCTCGGGGGATGCCCCTCGGACCCCCCCCCCCTCCAAGCTTGGGGCCCGGACCTTAAAACTGGTACCAAGGCCCGAGATGGGATGTGGCGGGCCTGTAGACGTGGACTCTCAGGATAGCGTGGGATATCCCCTCCATTTTGGCCTCAACATGAGAGCTTTTTTTGAGCTTTGGAGTCAATTTCAGAGAAAACCAGTGGCACCATCGTGTTTCTCGCAAACTTTTACATGTGAGTCAATTGTCAAATCGCAAATTCCTCACACATGCAACATCTCCATTGGTACCACAAAAGTAACATTGTAACTCCGAAAAGAAGAGTAGGTAAGACTTGGGATTCACTGTCGGACCTGTAAAAGCAACGATTCTTTTATCTCCGTGGTGGTGAGGCGTTCGGAAAGTAACCTTAGCAGATGTGCTCTAAGTACAGCGTATATTATTGTTCTAAAGAATTTCAATTTCAATTTTTTTTTTTTTTTTTACTTGTCTCCTGCGACGCGTTTCAAAGCGAAGCTACTGAAGAAACGACGAAAGTCTCGCGACTTTACGAACACAGGATGATTCGCTTCTATCCTACTTCTCGTCTCTCTAAATGAAAGAATGCAGGGGCGCTTTTGAAATTATCAAAAGAATCAGGAAATCTGTATTTTCTGACCACAGCAGAATGAATGAAAAAAAAATAATAACTTTTTGAAATAGAGCGATTAGCGCGATTGAGGTCGTAGGAACAAAAATCATTGACGTGAAAACTCCTTCAAACTGCTCTGTAGGCAAATTCATAAGCAGACAAGATTGTTTAGTTACGTACCTAAAGCGGCGCGGCGCTGGCATGCTTACTTGAATGAACTCATACATAGGAAAAGCTGGTCGTGGCTCGTGGGCCCCTAACATCCACTAATAAATATTACTTGCATTGAAAATAGAAATAGACTTTAATAATTTAAGGCTCGTAACAGGAAAGGAGTGGGAAAACATTCCATGTGTTTTACAAAAAATTAAGAAAAGAAGAGATGAGTGGTTACAGTGTCAGAAAAAGACAAAAAAATAAGAAAACAATATCAGGACATCCGAGGAATGAGAATCTATTTAGTCGAATCATTGAATTCCTGGTTTAGACTTGTTTTAGCGCGCAAGCAAGGCAAGGGGAAATTTTTCATTCATAGCCTTTTTTCAGCTTCTTTTCGTGGTCCCTACTTTGCTCAATTGAGCTCAAATTGATCTATGATTTCTTCTGGCTGTTGACGACTTTGACAGAATAAGAAGAGTTTTATCTCTGTTGATTTTAAACATTTTTGGGCCAAATTGTTCGCGGCAGTCTAGACTGCAGTTTGATGAAAAGATACCGGAAATCGGATTCTCAGCTATCGACGGGTAGGTATGCGTGGAGAGTTGGGCGGTCTTTGGTCCATTTGATCAATCGACTGGATTTGAGATAATTGAGATGAAATTTTTGCGGTGTGTAGTTCTGATCTAGGGCTGGAGCGATCTTGATTTGGAGCGCAATCGGCTTTGCGCAATCGGACAGCGAGTTATTAAAGTTCGGACAAGAGCACTGGGGGAAAAAAAACACATCGGATCTAGAGTCCAGACTCTTAAACACATCGACAAGAAAAAATACTCTTGATTCAATCAGATTCAAGCTTAAATCAAGAACCAAGCAGCCTCTTAATTTGAGCGGATTTCCTTTTGATTTAAGCTTAAATCTGATTGAATCAAGAGTCCTTTTTCTTGTCAATGTTTTCAAGAGTCTGGACTCTAGATCCAACGTGTTTTTTTTTTCCAGTAAGGGGGTGATTCAGGCGACTCGTTAAACGGACACCGCCCTTCGGAAAACACATTTCCCGCAGAGTTAACGCGGGGAGGACCGGTTGCGGCGCCGGCGCTGGTCTAGGTGGCATGAAGCGCGGCATGGGCGGGGGGGGGACCCTCTCGGCAAACTTTTTTGCTTTAAGCGAACAATGAGAAGAAAGTCGCTGAGCTTGGGAAGTTTTTAGCACAATGCGTACTCCAAACTATTTAGGCGGAGTAGGATCTCATTCCGCAAAAACTTTCCGAAAAGTTTCCAAGAGTGAAGAAATTTTAAGACTGAGATAACAACTGTCTCTTGATACAAAAAACTTCCTGCACCCCTTCCTCCTTCTACTACTCCTTGTTCACGATACAGATCATGTTGTATTGTTTTTCATTGAGATTCCGAATAAAATTAAGCGCTACCACGGGATGGCATACGCGCGCGGATCTAAGGATTCTAAGGGATGCCGCCGCCCCCCCCCGGGTTCAGTTCCGAACGAGGAAGAAAATTGAAGAAACAAAGAGAGAAGGATGTTTGTGATTGGAATGATTAGTCATGACGAAATTGACTCACAGTGCATGTTACATGCTTTAAAATGTTGACAATGTTCTGGAGGAAGCCCTCCGCCTCCGGACCTTCTTTACCCC